GGTGCTTACCGTCGTATTCAATTAAGCTTTTTGAAGCTCAGCTCGCAAGTGGATTTCCAACTGTTAGAGACTTATTGTTCTTTGTAAAGTCTCGTGTTAATATATTGGAGTGTGTACCCAGTGCGCCGCGTGAGTCCGTTCACAAACCATCAAAACAGTCCGCTTCTCAAAATTCGTATGTCACCCCAAAACATTATAATTCCGGCCCTAATAATTTTAAAAAGCCACAGTCCACATCGTTAATGACCAGCACAGGGACATCAAAATCGAATGTTTCGTGTCCAGTCTGCAAGGGGTCGCATATAGTATCGAAATGCAACAAATTTACGGGATGGTCCGTAGACGTTCGGGAAAAATGGGTGCGTGAAAATCGGTGTTGTTTTCGGTGCCTACGCGTGGGCCATTGGGCCCCGGAGTGTAAGTCCCCTGTGCAATGCACTAACTGCCCTCGCAGACATCATCCACTGTTACATACTTCGAACACGGTTATTAGTGATAGGGACAGTAACCCAACATATAGTAGTCAGTTGAACCGCGAAGAAACCACGGCACAATCGTCTCTTCTCGGCAGTAATGCGCAAAATTCATCGTCCGTCGTTCTTGGGACCGCGCTAATTCATATCCGCGACTGTGGCGGTATGTTGCACACTAAGCGCGCTTTGGTTGATTCTGCATCCCAGATAAGCGCGATCACCGTGGACTGCGCCGCCCAATTGGGTTTAAGAGTATCTCGTTGGACCGCCCCTATTTCGGGTTTGTCCGGTACATCAGTACAGGACGTCAGGGGGCAGGTAAATTGTAACATACAGCCCAGATTTGCGACTAACCCGACCTTCAATTTCACAGCGTGGGTATTCCCCACTATTACAGCTCAAATGCCCAGCCAACCGATATCTGATCAGGTGGCAGATAAGTACCAAAATCTCGCACTCGCTGACCCCTCATTTACTTTGCCAGATAAGATTGACTTACTGCTCGGCGCTGATCTATTTGCGCGTATATTAAATGGCAAACGCGTGTCGGTAGGCGATGCCTATCCGGTGGCATTCGGGTCCGTTTTCGGCTGGATCATAATCGGCCCAGTTCCACTGTCGAAAAATCCTGTATCCAGTTCACACT